CTTCTCCTCTGAGTGACCCCACGGTTTCTTTGTTCTTCCTTTTGCTACGAACATACCCATAAAAGCCTTTTTTGTTGCTTTTAACCTCTCTAGCAAGCCTGAGTTCATTTTGTGCTTTAGCTTTTCTGACTTTGTGTCTACACGTGCTGGCTATTTGTTTGAATTCCTCTTTGGTGGTTTCCCCCCTTTTCCATTTTTTGTACACATCCTTTTTTAATCTTAACTCAGTTAAAAGTTCTTTAGATAGCCACCCTGGCTTCTTTAGGCACCTTCCATGTTTCCGTCTCATTGGTATTGCCTGAAGTTGTGCTTTTACTATCTCCCTCTTAACAAACTCCCCGCCATCTTGAACTCCCTTTCCTTTTAGTATTACTGTCCATGGGATCTCACCCAGCACTTCCCTAAGCTTTATGAAGTCGGCTTTCTTAAAGTCGAGAAATTGAGTCCTAGTATGCTTGGCTGCTCCTTTCCGCTGTATAGTAAACTTCAGAAGAGCATGATCACTCGCGCCTAATGATCCTTCCACTTCTACCCCACTAACCAGGTCATCAACATTGGTTAGGACCAGATCTAAAATGGCTGTTCCTCTTGTTGCTTCTCCCACTTTCTGGACAATGAAGTTGTCTGCAAGGGCAGTGAGGAATCTGTTTGACCTTATGCTCTTGGCTGAGTTTGACATCCAACAAATATCCGGGTAATTGAAGTCCCCCATTACTACTATCTCCCTTCCTTTTGCATGCTTGGCCATCTGTTCCAGGAAGGCATCATCTATGTCCTCCGTTTGGCTTGGGGATCTATAGTAAACTCCCACAATGAGGTCACTGTTATTCTTCTCTCCCTTAATTTTGACCCAAATGCTCTCACTTTGGCTTTGAGGTTCTAAATCTTGGATCTCTTCACAGGTATACACATCCCTGACATATAACGCCACTCCTCCTCCTTTCTTGTCTGGTCTGTTTCTTTGAAATAGATTGTATCCCTCCATTATTACATTCCAATTGTGGGATTTATCCCACCAGGTTTCAGTGATTCCTATTATGTCATATTTAGTTTGCTGTACCAGGAGCTCAAGCTCATCTTGTTTATTTCCCATGCTTTGCGCATTAGTGTACAGACATTGAAGTCCATTAATCATTCCCCCGTGTCTCTTATTTAAGGATTTTCTCCTCCCACCACTAGGTCTGCATGCTCTTTGCTCCATTCGGTCTATGACATTTGGATGATCATCTTCATCAATTGATAGACTCCTACCTTCAGGAGCACTGTCTCCCTCCCCCACATTAGTCAGTTTAAAGCCCTCCTGATGAGGTTTCTGATATTTTTTGCAAAAACATTCCTCCCAACCGTTGTGAGGTGCAGCTCATCGCTTGCCAGAAGTCCATCTTCAAGAAACTGCATTCCGTGATCTAAGAATCCAAACCGTTCCTGTTTGCACCATTTGCGAAGCCAGTTGTTCACTTCCACTATTTTTCCCTCTCTCCCTGGGCCACGTCGTTCAACTGGGAGGACAGATGAGATGACAATTTGTGCATTTAATTGCTTCAATTTCCTGCCCAGAGCCTCGTAATCTCTTTTGATCTTCTGGAGGCTATTGCTTGCAGTGTCCTTGGTTCCCACATGAACCAAGAGGAAGGGGTATTTGTCAATGGGTTTTATGATTCCTTGCAGTCGTTCAGTTACATCTTGGATCTTAGCCCCGGGGAGACAGCACACTTCCCGAGACATGCACACTTCCCGAGACATGCACACTTCCTGAGACATATTAGCTCTTTTGAAGGCTTAATAGATTGGATGATGGACTGGAGGGGCTTTTGGTTTGGTCCAGAAGGTCTCTTTTTCTATTCTTCTTTAGTAATCAGGGAGATAGTGCTGTTGTGTTGCAGTCCCTCAGACAGTGAGGCTTATTAAGGTGTGCCTTCCAGGCACCACATTCACCTGAGGCCTAGTTGGAAGAGTGTAGAGCAGGGGTCGGCAAGGTTTACCTCGCCTGGGCCAGTTCACTCCAGCGGAGATCCCTCCATGGGCCGGATCACGCCCATGATTTTCGGCACGCCCGTGATTTCCGGCATCTGCATCTGCACAGATGTGATTTCTAGCGTCTGCGTTTGCACAGACGTGATTTTCGGTGTCTGCATCTGCACAGATGAGATTTTCAGAGCCGGTGGTTTAGCACAGCACGCGGGGACTCGCCAAGCAGGCAACTCGTTTTGGGGGCGGCTGTGGGCTGGTTAAATGACTCCCGTGGGCCGCTTGTGGCCCATGGGCCTTAGGTTCCTGACAGTTTGGGGGAATAGAAAAGGCTGGCAGCAATGGGTTGTTGGGGATCCAGGACTTCTTTTAATCTAAGTCAATGAAGAAATTTGCTACTGCAAAATAACCCCTAAAAGTTCATTCCCGAGTTTTGCTCAGGAGAACTTCATTTCCATATTGTCTCTCAACATTTTGACAGCACATTTGGTGGTGCTTTAATCACAGTATAGCATTGGCGACCCTACTTTAAGTTGATCATCTATGATGAATATCAAGCTGGAGTTTGAAAAGACCAGCTAGCTTCCAAGCACCAATCCAATCTTTGTGCAATGTCATTATAAACCACTCAGTCTTTGCCAGCATTTTTCCTATTTATTTCTATGCTTTTGATTTAAGAAAAGAACCAGAGAACTACATTAGGAATTATCAAATAAAACTACATTTATACTTTTAATAGAAGTATTCCATATTAAAAAATAGTTTAAGTCTAGGCCAAGAAAAAGCTTGCCAAAGGTCTCTGTAGCACAGGTGTTCTAATTAAATTGCACTGGCTGCATCTTGCTGACTGTCAGTTATTGTCGCAGACAGTTGAAAGTTTCCACCCTGTCCTTTTAACAAGAGGTAGACCTTGAATCCAGAAAAGCAAGGAATGCAAGTGGTGGAATCCTTCCATGTTAATCATGCACACTTCTCCCCATGTCAGGAGGGAGGTTCACATATCTCCTACATGTTGACAGAACATGTGAGGGGGGATGTGGAGCCATGCAGATTGACCATAGCACTTTGCACTGGGAACATATCCCTGTGCTAGCTCTATGCAACAGAATCCCTTCCCTGCCATCTGCACATTTAGCTAGTGCAGGGAAGAGCTCTATACAAGGAGGGATTCTGGCTCAATATGAAGGGTCCCTCTTCATACGGATGGACTTTATGTGCATACATCAGCATATGCATAGAGCACTTTCTCATGCCAGCGGGACCCACAGATGGCAAGGAAACATTTCCATTCCGCATGGTGGCAAAGGAAAGAAGAGGAAAAGGTCTTGACCATTTGTGAACACCATCAAATAAAATAATATTTCAAAGGAATAATCCCCAAGTAGAGGGGCTGATGGGAGTTTGAGTCCAACAATATCAGTGTATGCGTGCGCATGCGCACCCAGGCACTCCACTGCTAAATCAACAGGTAGATGTTCCTCATTTGTGCCAGGTGCCTATTCAAGGCTCACCCCTGTGGAGGAGCTGCTTCCCAGTAATGGAACATAACTTTGGAAAGAACCTTCAGCCCAGGAGGTAGGTTGAATTAAGTGTCAGCAAGAAGGAAGTACATCCAAAGAACACCCAGTTCAAATGGAAAGTGACTGGCAAGGTGTCAGGACCATGGACAGATCACAGGGGAAATGGATGCATCGCTAAAGTCACTAAGCAGATCTATCTAAGGAGGAATGATCCTGCTGTGGACAAGCACTTGCTCAGTCTGAAAAGGTTGTGGCTTAAACTCCAGCTTACAATTGGAGTGAACAGAAGAAGAGCCTTGCTGGATCAGACCAAAGGTCTATCTAGTCCAGCATCCTGGTCTCACAATGGCCAACGATGCCTTGGGGAAGTCCACCAGAAGCACCTAAGTGCAGCAGCACTCCCAAGCATACTGCCTCTCATCTTGGTGAGAATATGTGACCAAGTGGTTAATTTAACTGGTTTTAGGATGCATTTCTGTTGTACACATTAGGAACTATTGTATTAAGCAGCACATAAATAAGTAAAATAAACAAATCTATACCAGTAGCCATTATACCAGTAGCCTTATCGTCCATAAGCCAGGAAGTTTAACTATGCACAGTGTGAAGGAATCATTGAACCCCCCCCCCATCTATTAAAGTTCACCTTCATTGGGTGATCTCATTGGGTTCTAGTAGTATGAGAGAGGGATAAAACCTCTCTCAATCCACTTCCTCCACACCTTATACAACCTCATAGACCCATATCATGTTCCCATTCACTTTTTTTCTACATTAGAAAGGCCTCAGTGTTATCCCTCTGGCAGTGGGTATTCTGTTGCCACTTCTGGGTGTGGTGTTGGCAATGAAGGCAGGATGCTGAGTGATGCAGGGCATTCTGGAAAGGAGCGGTTGGTACCTGAGGATTTCCTAAAGTAGGGATGGGTAGCCTGTGGCCCTCCAGATGTTGTTGAACTTTAATTCCTATCAGCCCCTGCCAATATGATCAGTGGTTGGGGGTGCTGGAAGTTGTAGTTCAAAACATCTGGGAGACCACAGGTTCCCCATTCCTGCCATAAAGGAAACAGTTCCAAGAGCTCATGGTGAGTGATACAGAGTCACTGGAAGCAATTCTTCCTCTTCTTTTTTGGTTAGATTTTCAGAATGACTTATTTTCTCCTGTTACTGCATCCTGGACTCGCCTAGAGATGTATTCTAGACACTCAGGAACACAGGAAGCTGCCATATACCAAGTACTGCACAACCCTTGGTCTGTCTAGCTCAGTATTGTTGACATTGACTGGCAACAGCTCTCCAGGATTTCATGCAGGAATCATTCTCAGTCTGGAGATACCAAGGATGGAACCCGTGACACTTTGCAGATACAGCACATGTTCTGCCACCAAACAGTTACGGAATTTGTGCTCAGGTTTTATTGATGTGGACATTGCTGTGTCAATATGAACATTTATAGATCATAAATACATATTTGTATAACTTAACACATGCCATCTCCCCCCTTGTTTCTTACAGCACTGCGGAGTCGATCAGGGCGGTCTATTATTAATGGGAACTGGGCAATTGATCGACCTGGGCGATATGAGGGAGGAGGAACAATGTTCACCTACAAACGCCCCAATGAAATCTCAAGTACTGCAGGGGAATCCTTTCTAGCAGATGGCCCAACAAATGAAATCTTGGATGTCTATGTAAGCTGCAAATATTAGGCATAATAATACCACTTCAGTTAACTACAAGACCATTTTGTTCTCTTTCTCTATAACCTAGAAGAACCACCCTTGATAGTTAGTAGTATGCAAACCACTGGATTTGGGGGGGAAACACTGGTTTGCAGTCTTATTCGACTTGCATGCGCACTCAGAAGTACCACTGAATTTGAGTAGGGTTACTGTTGATCAAATTCCTGCCCTCGAAGGAGCTCAGGGTGGCAGTTATCCCATTTGATCCTCGCCACAATCTGTGAGGCTTAGAAATGGTGACTGAAAGGAGACCACCTGCTAAGTCTCATAGCTGTACCCAGAAGAGAATGGTGGGGCTTATCACTTCCATTTAGCCTACCTAGCTATTTTGCTGAGATGTTTCTCCCCGCCTCCCCCCTGAGATCGCCAGGGGGAACCTTCTGGCCATTCCACCAGTGAATGGCGCTTGCCATGCAGTGACACAAGGCTGGACCTTCTTTGTAGCAGCTCCCCAGCTGTGGAACTCCATCCCCTTGGAACTGTAGATGCCTGTGTTTCCTTTGACATATTTGTTTAGCCTGGTGTGGGGTAGAAATCAATTGTCTTAGTCAAGGTTTTAGTACTGTTGTTACGACAGACTGCTGCTATGTTCATCAAAATGTTTCTCTGTTATTGTTGTATTAATAATTGAACAATATTTTTATTATTGCATATTGTGTTCTCTTTCATATGATGGTTTGTAAATGGCTTAAGTATCTATTGTGATGAAGGGTGGTTTAAAAATTGAAAAGAAGGTTGGCTTTCATTTCCATCTCAGCTGCAGAAGAATTCAGGGGTCCCAGTGCTCACTTTTTATTTGAGGCAAGAACTACAAGCCCCCAAGTCTCCTATCTCTGAATCTGGGGTCTGAGCAATGTCTCTAGATTGATATGTTTGCTGTGGAGAAGCTTAAGCCCCCTATCTGCCCAGGCACTCATTTGATTCGTTTCTGCCTTAGATGATTCATCAGCAGCCCAATCCAGGTATACATTATGAGTACATCATTCCAGGGCCCAATGTCATCAGCCCTCAGGTGCCTCTTCATCGACGGCCAGGTAAGATGACTGTTTTATTCTGAAAGAGTTACCTGCCATCTCTTATTCAACCAAACCATAGGCACCATCGTTATGGGGTCAAACAATATTTGTAGGCAGGGGCCAAGCCCCTTCCCACCATGTTGAGGGGGCCTCCTCCCAAAGATGTGCACTTGGCACCTCATGCATGTGATGGCACCCGTGACGTCATGGTGTCACGTTGTGCGCACACACAACTGGTCCCCTGCAATTTGGGGCACAAGTCAGCAGCTCTGAACCAAACTATATTATAGGGAGTTGGACTAGATGGGCCTTGGGGTCTCTTCTGACTCTCTATGATTCTATGGAACTTTGTAAGTTTAGATATATCTAGTTAAGATCATGCTGTTTTGTTGCAAAAATAGTTGCTGAAGTCCATTGATTTCAATGGGTTCATTCTGCATATGACTCCATTGGGTACAATCCATTATTCAGGACTTCATTGGAACACCCCTCAAATCTCCAAATGCATGAGCAGAGAGATCCCCACTGGTATTTCTTTTCCCCCAATGCAATGATCTTCTAATTAATGCTCTGTGCAGGAATCGTGATACCAGTAAGAGAGCTCATCAGTTTTCTGATTTGTGACAAATGAGGTGCCTTGTTCCAAAAGAACCATACAGCCTTTGTATATATGAACAAATGTTGTGTTTTCCTGTTAAAACTCGCTTCTGGACTTGCATAAACATCCCAGCTTGTCATGGGGATTTTGCCTTACTGCATTTGGAATGGCTCGTGGTCGAGAGGAACGACTATTATTTTAAGCATTTATTGTCTCCATTCCCCCAGGGGAGCCATTCAATGGCCAGTTGGATGTGACAGAGACAGTGAATTATGAGGAGGAGGATTTGCATGGGGAGACAGGCACTCACATGGGGCAGCCTGTGGGGACCTTTCCGGTGATCCAGCCAGGAAGGTTTCCCTCTCATCAGCCAGACAACCAGGTGCCTGCTGGTCAGCCAGCAAGACGCAGCCGAGAGCACAACTGGAAGCAAGTTGGAACGACCGAATGCTCCGCCACGTGTGGAAAAGGTAGGCGGTCTGGAGTGTGTGGACAGTTGACACATATATTCTACCCTGGGGGATCCTGGTCTGCCAAAGGCAAAATATGGAGTACGGGAAGAACTTAGTAACTGTGTTGTCTTTGTCTCTAACCAAGGGAAAAGCAAACATAGCCAGTGTCTGCTTGTAAAGAGCTATAAAGCATGGTGCACACATCAACTCAAGGCAAAGACAGGATGCATTCATAGAAGGAGGACATGTCACTTGCAGGAGCAATGGAGAGAAGCAATTTTTTTTAAAAAAATGTAATTTTTATTGGTTTAACATATCATTTTCAACAGTAATTAAACATACTTTTACATCTTATTCAAATTTTTGACTTCCATCAATCCTGTCTGAAAATTTTCCAATCTAATCTCTCAGTATGCATTTCTTATCTTCCCTATTACATTTCAAACTCATAACCAATATCTCTATCTTTTTCTACTTTGTAACACTTGGTATATTTCTCCTTACAAAACGTCTTGTAGTCCTACTAGCGTAATTTGTTGATTACAGTTGCTCTTCAAATAATTCATATACTTATTCCAATCTTCTGTAAATCTCTGGTCCTGCAGGTTTCGAATCCTTCCTGTCATTCTGTCCAATTCTGCATAGTCCAGGAGAGAAGCAAGTTAAAATCCAGGGAAGGGGAAGCTGGTGCCTTCCAGGTGTTGTTGGACTGCAGCTCCCATCGTACTGAGCCCTGACCATATTGGCTGGGACTGATGGGCATTGGAGCCCAACAACAACTAGTGGGGCACAGGTTCCACATCCCTGTTACAATCTGCCCTGATGGCTACCTGCTAAAGGCAGGTATTGCTATTGTCTGGTATCATGTAGTCGTCTTAATTTGGCAAACTTCAAGTGATTGCAAGGATAGTCCTTCTAGAAAAATTTAGATGGCCAAAAGAGGAAAGTGTGGTATGTTCAAGTGTTGAGATACTGAGTTATTACACACACACATTGCAACAGTTTCTACCGCTGCGACGACTCTGCTACAAGAAGCTGACGGAGAGCTATCCACGGGGGTCCAGTGGGGGGGCACGGAAGTGTGCCGGACTCCATCCAATAGCCACAGAAACAACAGCTCTGTTGCAGGGTGCATGCTTTGTACAGAAGGTCTCTGATTCAACATGGCATCTCCAATTAAAATGGGAAGTGCCTGCAAAAGAACCACAGGGAGCCACACACGTTTATACTAGTGCAGAACAAAAATGTACACCCCCACCCCCAAAATGTGCCAGCCCATCTACATGTGGGGTGAAGTGGGAGCACATTTTGTTTTTTGCTTTTAATAATAATTTTTATTAGTTTTCAATTACAATCCAATAATAGCCTCATTTTAATAATACCAATTTATAATACAATTAATAATACCAATCGTTTAAATGCCAAATTATATAATTTAGATAAGGTGGGGCCCCCACATGCTATAATTGATGGCTTGATTATTTGCTTTATTTCTGCATTCCAAAATCGTATTAATTTCCATTACATTCCGGTTGTAATAATCCCTTATACAACAACTGCAATATTAATAACTTCTATTCGTGTTGACACGTTAAGTGAGGAACTCAAACAATATCCTTGTTCTTCCTGTGTGTGGCAATTATTCTGTCCATGGTGTTTCTTCCTTTCCTTGTAAGATGTTATTCCTCCTGTTGCTGCTGTTCTCCATCATGCCTTAGGCGGAGCTGATATCCCATTGTTCCAGAAATTTCTCCATTGCTCCATCCCATGCTTGGTTATTTTGCAACTTTAACAACAACTGCAAAAGTCACTCTGTCCCAATAAATAACCTGTTTTCACCATTTTCCCTCTGAGCCTGGGAAGAAGAGCAGTCTGTCGAACTGCAGGTGACTCAGTAATGAACCTTATCAGTTCCTTGGCAAGTTCGCAGACTTCTTTCATCCTTCCATCCGACTGAAGATAAATGAGCATTTATACTTCCAATTAAATTTAATTTCAAGTTCTTTTAGTGTTATTCAGTTGATTCTATAAATAATTAAGGGTGGGGAAGAGTCAGCTCTAAGTTTCCATCATAAAACTTTTGCAAAATAGAGCTTCCCTCCCTTTCCCCTTTTTTTAACACACACAGTTCCGTTTAATGTTATATTCCATATCTATAATCCAATTTCTTCCGCCCTTGCTTGTACAAATATAATTTGAACTAACATTCAAGGGAGGGTTGCCGAAACATAAATGCAGAGAAGAAAACTTTATATAAAGAAGCCGTAGGCTCCCCTCTCCCTACAGCATCTTTTGCATCCAATGAAGTCTTCTCTCAAGTTCAAACCTTAAAGACCTTGCAGTTGTTTTTGTTCCGCAGTTTGTGATCTCATCTCTTCTAGCATGCGCCTCTACTTTAGTCCAATTAAACTCTAATTAAGAGGAGAACCTGCCTTCGTATTCAGCGCCTCCCTGCTTCCTATACTGGAGCGAGAGACAGGTACCAAGATGAACTGCGAGTGAAGCCCACCCACCCCATCCCTGGGGGGGAACTTGCTAGGATAATTACCCTCAAGCATTCTTGTTTTTCCTTTGCCAATGACCTCCTGCTGTCATGGGGGTCTGCCTCCATTATGGCAGAGAGGAACCGGAAGCCAAGTGGGAGCACATTTTGGTCCTTTTCAAGGGTATAATGATCTGTGGGGGCTGGCTGACCCTGGCAGTAGGATGACAGCAGGGCAGCAGAGATTTCCCCCCTCTTTCTTTTAATGTTAACAACAGTGAGGGGCATCTCCTCCTAGCAGCTGCCACCTGGTAGCCATCATGGTCCCTCCCCAATGCCCTAGAAGGAGCATTATTTCAGGGTATTTTCTCCGTGGGGAAAATGGCATCCATCACAGGAATAGGGCATTTAGTGTGGAAATACTGAGACTGTGGGACTCCTTCTGATCGCTCTTTGGTAGGGACCCTCAGTGTTAAGTGCTAAACATCTGCCGCCTGAAAACGATATTAATGCAATATAGGCTTTTGCAGTGACTGGCAATGGCCCTCCTGCGTTTTAGGCAGCAGCATTTCCCAGCCTTGCCTTGTAGGGGCTGGAGATGGAACCTGGGACCTTCTGCAGGCAAAGCATTTGCTCTTGCCCTGAGCTGCAGCCTGACCCTGACATGTGAGTCATCCATGTGAACTTTGTACACTTTGAATGCTTTTAATTATGTCTCTCATGTTCATGGGCCCATTTGTGGGGGGAGGAGCAAACTCCACCCTGTACCAAAAGTTACACCTATCCTGCAAATCCTGCAAGAAGAAAAATGCCTCTGGAAGTGAAATTACTGTAAATTAGCATATGTGATGCTGAAAGCTTTCCCGGTTGAACACACCACTGAATACATTCCATTTTGGCAGAAACTTTCATTCTCATGTCTTTTATGAGAAAACCTGCCTCTTTCCCCTCTTTCCAGCTGCCAAGCAGCCATTAGTGGTAATCGGGACAGCCAAGGTGTTTTCTCCCCCCCCCTGCCCACCCCCCGCCCATGATGAACTCTGCAGCATTTAAGTCCAGGATGAATTAAAACAAAGTGCCTTCTGGGTGTGCTGCTTTGTCAAATCACATCTCTTCATGGACCCAAACAAGATAGAAGTAAAATATTATAACATATAAAATGGGTTGTCAGGAATATTTAAAGCATGTCTAAAACAAGATGTGCAACATGATACCTTAACATATGGAAATTAAGAACGAGCTAAAAAAATAAATAACACAACCAAGTAAAAAATTGTAGTGTGTGAGAGCAGCCGAAGGACACAGAGAACAAATCCATGGTTTCAATGGCTACTGGCCATGGTTAGGAACATTGGCAGGTGCCTTACACTGAGTCAGAACATTGGTCCATCTAGCTCCATATGGTCTACACTGACTGGCAGTGGCATTCCTGGATTTCAGGCAGGAGTCTCTCCCAATCCCACCTGGAGATGCTGGGGATTGAACCTGGGACCTTCTTTTTGTGAGGCAGATGCTCTACCCCTGAGCTACAGTGGCTGGAAACAGAGAGGAGAGGGCTCTAGTGCTCAGCTCTTGCTTGCCAGTTTCCTCAAGCATCTGGGCAGCCACTGTGAGAACAGGAGGCTGGACTAAATGGGCCATTGGCCTGATCCAGCTAAAGGCTCTTCTTAAGTTCTTAATGTTCAGGGCCAGACTTGGAGTCAGGAATGGGTGGAGGCTCCAGTGTCTAAACAGTTTTCCAGTCCATGCTGAAGAGCAGTCCTCTTCCAAGCTGGAGCCTTCATGGCCTTGGGAAACAGGCACCTGCTGATGTCCCAGGACCTCCCTTAGGATGCCATGGGGCGCTGCTGCACCTTTTCCATTTTGTTCCCCCAAACCTGTGGGAAGTGCTGCAGCCCAGCAGCCTGCGCCCCACAGAAGCCTGACTGACTCAGCTCTTTGCCGAGCAGGCTGGCCTGTTAATGGGACCGCTCTGCTGCAGATTCCTTCTTGCCTCAAGAGAGCTGCGGTCTTGTTATCAAAATACACTTCAGAGTTGGCGCAAGTCCACCCGTGTGTCATATTTTGACTAGGAAGATTATCCAACTTGGTCCAAGTTTTAGCCTTGGAGAAATTGGCAAGACAGAGGTGCCTCTCTGGTTTGAATTCAGAAAGGGATTTATTCCAGGGCTCACAAAGAGAAATTGCAAAAATCCCCTCCTGAGCTTTGGCGAGGGGCGACGACGATGACGACGATGATCAGCTCTTCGACATGATATAATGGGCAGCCCAATCCTAAGGGTTTAGGAAACATTTCCAAGGCGGAGGAAGCTAATCCTCCTTTGTTCTGTGATTCAATTCCATATGCATTTTGTTTTAGCCTCGGGCCATAACAAAGCTGCAGCATAGTTCAGGACAACAAACTTCGTAAGCAAAATAAAGATTGGCATAGTGATTGAGCTGATAGTCAAGAGCAAAGATCAAGTATGCTTTGCCCAGTGCGAAGGCCATTTACCTTTCCTTTTTGTTTATTTTAATTGGCCAATGAAACCTGATTTAAAAACAAAAAAAGCTGCTGTTAGATGTGTAGGGAAGAACTGACTGCTACCCTTGTTTTTTTGCCACCTTTAAGAACATAAGAAGAAGCAGGTGAATTAGGCCAATGGCTCAACTATGTCAGTCTATTAGTAAATAAATTGTAAAATTGTAGAGTTGAATGGGAACAGAAGGGTCATCTCGTCTAGTCCAGGGCAATACAGGAATCTTTCACCCAACATATGACCCTGAGATTTTCCCCACTGCTTCTTACTTTTCCTTCCTTGCTTTTCACCCCAGGCTCACAGTATCCCATCTTCCTCTGCGTCAACCGGAATAGCCACGAGGAGGTGTCTGAAAGCTACTGTGACACCAGCACCAAGCCCACCCCGGAAGAGGAAGCCTGCAACACCTTCCCATGCCCAGCCTTGTAAGAGGATGATGCTTATTACTTGTATGGTTAAATCAGGGTTCGTATTACTCTGCTTTCCTTTGGATCACATCAGTGAGGCTGAGAGACTAGTCTTGTCGTCTGGGCAGTCCAAGACCCACTGCCCAGGCTCTCGCCCCGGGAGGTCACTTTGGTGCAGTCATTTGACTTCACCCCCTGTGGTGTGCTCCGTTAACTCTCAGGACAATTAAACAATCAATAATATTATTTATTTATTTCATAAAATTTATGCAGCACTTGATTTTAAATCATTTTACAAAAAAGATAGGACAATAACATTATCACTTAGAAAATCAACAAGAATAATTTAAGTCCATGTTAGACTTTCTTAACATCTGAGCAGGTTTGTCTAATCAAAATTGTTTTTAGCAGGCTCTGAAGAGAGTATTGTGAAGGCGCCTGCTTGAGATCAAGAGGCAGGGCATTCCAAAGCGTAGGCGTTGCCACACTTAAAGATGCAGTTCTTACAAATGTAACGCCTGTAACAGTGCCCATTTCACCGATCAAATATAATATATGCTGCTTTACTCCCTGCACATTGATTTGTGCCACATCCGCACATACATTTCAAACACAGTGTGGCACAAGCAAATTTTTATTCAGAAAGTGTGGCCCAGAGAAAAATATTGGCGAACCCCTGGGCTAGGACAGTGGCTGAGCTCAAAAACTTTTTCTGTCCAGCACGTAGATAGATGGAGTGCTAAACTTTTTTTTTCCAGCATGAGGGCCACATTCCCTTCTGGGGGCCACATCCTAGTGGTGGGTGGGGCCAGAGGCAAAAGTGGGTGGGGCAATGAAGGCAAATATTGTCTTTGTACCGTGGGCTACTTTCTACCCACACTCGAGCACCCCTCATATCCCAGGGAGGGTGTGAAGCAAGGCCAGTGGAGGGTGGAGCTGGGGAAGGCATGGCCTGGGGAGAGTTGCAAGGGCCAGACAGAGAGGTATTGAGGGCCACATTTCCCTACCAACGCCACCAGGCTTGAGGCTCCCCACCCCCAAACAGATATAGAATGACCCCCATCTCTTCTTCCTTCCCGCATTTCTTAGCTGGGATATCGGGGAGTGGTCGGAATGCAGCAAGACCTGCGGCCTCGGGATGCAGCACCGCCAAGTCCTGTGCCGGCAGATCTATGCCAACCGCACCCTGACAGTCCAGCCACACCGCTGCCACCATCTGGAGAAACCAGAGACCACAAGTACGTGCCAGCTGAAGATCTGCAGCGAATGGCAAATTCGGACAGAATGGACATCGGTAAACAGGAATGATTCAGAGCACAGAACATGCCCCCCAACAGGCTTACCTTTCAGGAGCAGTGGCTGCAGCTGACATTGCACCAGCCCTGATCCTGCAACACTGGGGAATTTCCAGTGTTCTTACTCCGTTTGTGGAAGGGTTCCTTTCACAACTCTCCTTACTCAACCAGAACGTCCTTCCATTAATGGAACCAAAACACTGGATGTCACCCATAACGTGGAAGTTGTCCGAATGTTTTACGAAAGGGCAGGTAGAAGAGGCTAGCAGGAAAGCCGCTCCTGTGAGCTTGGGGAACGTGGATGGCCTTTAAGGGGGAAAGTATATAACTGAAAGCAGTGGATAGCTTTTTCTCAACCTGAGAGCCACATTGCACACCCTCCTCTGCCCTCCATGCAGGAAAACAAGAAGCATTAAGAGAGTTCAAGGACATATTGGAGCCTGGCAGAAACCCTCCTGGAAGCGGCAGAGCAGGGCCAGGGAAGAGTCCTGAGGGTTAAATAGAAAGGTTTGGGGGGCTGCCTTTGGCCCTCTGGCCTAAGGTTCCCATCCCTGCCTTCAGCCTGATCCATCAGGGCTTTTCTTATGTTCTCATCAGCACCTGCTCCTTCTTGCTGAGACCATTGGAAATGCTGATGGTGAGGTTCGGGACCATGTACTGTGGCCCTCTAGACTTCCTCATCTTCCATGCACCTACCTGGGATGGAGTAGAGACTTTCAACATCAAAATCTCAAGCCATTTGTTGGATAGCTCCAAATGTTATATTAGTGTTCACAATTTAAAATATGCTTCAACTGTAAAACATAATCTGTATTCCATCCAATTTGCAACAATGACATAATAGAAAATAGTATTTTAGTCCTGGATATTTATTTGCCTGGCAGGGCAGGTTTATACAATCACTGCCACAGCCATCAATTCCTTATTTCATTGCAATGCAGTAAAAGAGCCCTGCAAGCGTGTGCACGCGCGCGCGCGCGCGCACACACACACACACACACACACACACACAAACTTTATTATTATCACAGACCAGCATAAGAAGAACGTATGAATAACAAACTGATTTTTATCAAAACCTCAGCAAAACTCTGTTTAATTTTTAGTCATTTTTAATTGAATTATACTTCTTTATGATGCTTGCTGCCCTGGACACTTTTGGAGGAAGGGCAGGGTACAAAGGGAGTGAAACGCAATCAAAATGAATAAATGCATGCAATCCCTGTGTGCCTGCCCGACCCAGAGATCTTTCTTGTTTTAGTGCTCCGTGCCATGTGGAGTGGGTCAGAAGACACGAGATGTGAAGTGTGTCAGCAATCTTGGAGATGTCGTTGATGATGAAGAATGTAACATGAAGCTGCGCCCAAACGATATCGAGAACTGTGATATGGGGCCTTGCGCAAAAAGCTGGTTTCTTACAGAATGGAGCGACCGGGTAAGGCTTGTAATGGTCATCTTCCAGCTCAAGCTTAGTGGCGAGGCAAATATTTTGCATGCATCATTTCACTGGATAAAGATCTGAAACTCTGGAGTATGTTTTCTGTCCTAATGCTTTAATGCTCAAATCAGTACATCACCTCAGCAAAATGGGGTTCAGAGGCCGAACAGATGCTAAGCAAGCGAGGATGTTGTTCCAACAGACTGTGCGCCTCCCCCATGGGTCCCATTGTGTGGTAACAGGAGAGGCAGAATTTGAGCGTGGAAAAGGGGGGGAGGCAAAAGTGAGCACCGAACTTGTTCTGAGACGATGGGCCAGGAGTGGGCTCTGGCAGGGCTAGAGGGGGCACTGGGATCCGAGGGGGCACTGGGATCTGAGGCAAGGCTGGCATGGAGCCAGATGTGAGGTGTAAGAGGGTCCCCCACTGGGACCCTCCCTGGAATCTGGCTCCTTGTCTGTCACTCCCTCCAGGGGGGACTGCTCTCTCCCTCAAGGCCCCAGCACACCCTCTCCCAACCTTCTGGGTCCCCTCTCCATAGTTGGCAGCAGGCAGTTCCCCCACCCTGTGTCTGGGTCCGACCAGCCCCTCCACTATGTCTCTTCAAGACACATTTCTTTGGGACTCATGACACCCGGGTTCGAGCCTTGACACCCCCAGTTTAGAAAGAAAAGCAGGCAGCAGGTGAGGGGAACACCTCAGCCACAGGCCCTAGAGAACTGCCTCCAGCCACTGTAGGCCAGGAATGGCCTCTGGATGTTTCTGGTGTCACCCTTGTCCATTTGCCATTCTGTCTGCGGCTGGCAGGAGTTGGCATCTGTTCTGCTGTATAGCCACAGGTGAGTCTGTCCTGGCACAGTCTAGCTGGACCTGGAATAAGATGGCTTCCTCCTAGGCACCAACAGGCCTCTGCAGTGCACCAGCTCTGGGGGTGGGGGTTACACTGCGATTGCACTGGGTTGCACATGGGGATCTGATGAGTAGGTGCTCCTGTCTGTGGGGGAGAAGGGAAGGAACTGGGTCTTTTATCTTTTTTTAAAGTCTTCCAATCCAATCCTTTTATGATGATTCTTACCTCTTTCCCAGCAGTTGTGGAGCTCTGCCAGAATCTCCCTGCTCCTCAAAGCTTGTTTGTCAGGGCAAAGGCTCAAAGGATCTTCTTGTAATAGAGACTCGTTTTTAATTTATAATCACAAAGTATTTTTGAGTGTGTTTGCTTATTTTCTTTTACACAGAGATGAACGTCTCTTTAGAAATTTATTGGAGCGATATCTCATGTGCATAAAAGAAAAAGAATTATTCTCCAAGACAGCGAAATATAAATAAACTGACTAAAGCGTTCTGGATTAGATCCAGGGTTGGTGCAAATCCACCGGTTGAACATACAGATCAGCTACGAGTTCATTTTCCTTTCTCCCCTCCCACTGAATGTACTATTTGTTCCCACACAAGTTTAAAAATATGTCTTCATTTATTTATTTTTATGCTGGAGAATGCTTTTAGAACATTTTTTGCTGAATGCCCAAAGGATAGGTTGTGAATTTTGTATAGTTTTTTAAAGAAAGAATTATTGCATTAATTTATGTTGCAGCAAAGAAATGGAAGAACTAGGTGCCTTTATGTGTGTATGGAAGTGGGGTGAGATCTGTTTTTATGCAATGCATGCTTTTATGTACAGCAAGAGAAACACTGGCTGCATTCTTCATATTAACCATTTCCAAATGTTTGCTACTGTGTTGGGCACAATTCACCAGCTGTTCTCTCATTATTACCTTTGGAGTTTGGATTTTAAGGTGACTTCTTTCAAACACATGCACCCACAGAAATATGATTGCCTTACAGTCAAGGTCCCATGGGAGATCCATGATCAAAACTCCTTTAAAAGCAGCTGTGTGTTTGCTCTCTCTCTCTCTCTCTCTCTCTCTCTCTCTCTCTCTCTCTCTGTGTGTGTGTGTGTGAGAGAGAGAGAGAGAGAGAGAGAGAGAGAGATTTGGATCAGGGCCTCAGTACTTGAGAAGAAAGACGTTCACCCCTTTGTGCTGTTTCCTTATTTGAAATCACCCAATAAACCTGCTGTGAGTCTCAGAAGGTAGAAAGGTAGGTGACATTATGGATTGTGCACAAACATACCACTGGCATCTTCACAGAGCACCATTTCAGTGTGGCTTTCAGGCTGCTGGTGGTTGTGGGAAAGTAATGGCAGCCAGTAGCCACTGGTAAAAGCTCAGTATGGACACAATTGTCAATTTTGGTTCTTCTCAGTTTCTCACCTCCCCCCCCCTCCCCGCCCTGGCAGTTCTTCCCATTTGCACATCACTTTGTGATTATTTTAAAGTCTTTATTTGACTGCACAATTTCTCCTACTGTACATATTTTTGCAAGCCCCTTTTCCAAATAGTCATTGTATTTTCTTCTTCTTACGTACGCTCTCCCCTAATATATACATCTTCTTCCTTGTACAATTTTTTTGTTGCACAACTTTACAAGAAAATTCAGTTGTCTCTGTGTTTTAGGGATGGCTCTGATTTGTGCCTTGCTTTGGGAAGTGCAAAGTAGGTAGGTGCACATTAGCTCAGGTGGCCCAGTGGTTAGAGTGGCAGCACCAAGGTTGCGGGTTCGATCCCTATTCCTGCATTGCCGGGGGTTGGACTGGATGATCCTCAGGGTCCCTTCCAACTCTATGATTCCATGAGATGTAAACTGAACTAAATCCCACCCTACCCCCACTGTAAGAGAGTTCCCTGTTGCTGTACAACTACAAGTGGTTCTGCTCCCACCATTTCAAGCCTAAGAACTTTTAGCACAGCAGTTGCTAAAACCCAGACTGCACACTTGCTCTGTGCTCTGGATTCCCTCAAGGGCAGGAGCAGGGGAACCATCCATGCTGCCCTGAACTCTTTGAAAGAAAAGAGGGGGCAAAAGTGTCAGAAAAATTATGCATATACACCATGCATTTAAACAAATTTGAGACACACACCCCCATTCAAAGAATCCTGAGAACTGTAGTTTACCCCTCACAGAGCTAAGATTCCCAGCACCCTTAACAAATTATAGCTCCTAGGGTTCTTTGGAGGCAGAAGTGTGTTTTAAGTGTGTGGTGTGTATGCAACTGACTTCTCTCTGGCTCTGCCCCTTGTGACTTAAGGTAAAGGTAAAGGGACCCCTGACCATTAGGTCCAGTTGTGACCAACTCTGGGGTTGTGGCGCTCATCTCACTTTATTGGCCGAGGGAGCCAGCGTACAGCTTCCGGGTCATGTGGCCAGCATGACTAAGCCGCTTCTGGTGAACCAGAGCAGCGCACGGAAAACGCCGTTTACCTTCCCGCTGGAGCAGTACCTATTCATCTACTTGCCCTTTGACATGCTTTCGAACTGCTAGGTTGGCAGGAGCAGGGACAGAGCAACGGGAGCTCACCCCATCGCGGGGATTCAAACGGCCAACCTTCTGATCGGCAAGTCCTAGGCTCTGTGGTTTAACACACAGCGCCACCCGCGTCCCACCCTTGTGACTGAGGGCTTTCTTAAAGAGCCAGCCCTCTGGCCTGAAAACTCCCACTCTGCTCTCCAGCCTCTTCCATGGTGTACTCCCTGAGCTGGCTGGCTCCTGCAGTGGTAGGGTTGCCATATTTCAAAAAGTGAAAATCCGGACACAAAAGTTCTTGAGCTTTTTAGGCAAAGTTGTTGAGCCAAATACTGAATACCAGATGTATGGTGACCCTATGCAGTGGACCCTCGGTTCCTCAGGAGAAGACACCCATGAGCATCCAGGAAGTTCTTCTTAGGGGGCTCAAGTTTCTCAGGCTCCATTGTTTCATGATCTCCAGCAACAAGCTCAGAGCGTGACACCTGCCCTGGCCGTCCACAGCAGGAAAGTCTGCAGCCAGAGGCTCTTGAGTCTGAACCCATGGCTGGCCTACAGACGCCTCTTTGGTCTGAGCCAGCAAGGCTCCTCTGCTGCTTTTATGATGTCACCCAGATGTTTTCAAGAAGCTTAAGCATGCTGTTGGGTGTCTGGTTTTTGCAGAGAAATGTCTTTGTTTTAATTTTAAAAGATGGAAATAAAGCTCAAGAGCCCAACAATATCCTGGCTCCAAGTCTGCTGCTGAAGCTCTTTAATATCCTTTGCAAGCAGTTAATCTGCGCTGAAATCTCACAGCACAGAGTGGGGCAAGTCGGTATCTTCTTAGTTGGCATCTAATTTGAAATGTGATCCGTTTGTTCAGCTTACTTAGAACAGAACTCAGTTTCTGGAGAACCACAACAAGTAATATTGCTAGCTGAGTGTGCTGAAAGCACCAGAAGCCAATTGAAATACTTTGTGGACGTGGAATGTTAATGACCCAAAATGGTACCACCAGGCTGTGAGTGTTTTGTGGGAGGAATTCAAACAAATACCAAGAAATTTAAATTAAAGTGGATCAAAATGCTCTGTCACCCCCTAGCATAACAAATCAATGGGTTTTTTTGGTTTTTTTTTAAAGGAACACACTGTGTGTGCACAATAAGTGAATGATTAGCAGAAAGATGTATAGACACTCTGCCAGCAAATTAGGATTTATACTGGATGAAAGGTTCATTGAATATAAGAAGAGCCTGCTGGATCAGGCCTGTGTGTGTGGGTGTGAAAGAGAGAGACAGACAGAGACTTTCTGCTTTGGCTGTTCACAGCACCACCAATTCACCACAGGGATTGTGGTCCTCAGTCCCAAAAGTTTGCATATCTCTTTCCAACAAAATAGGCTGCATGAGTACTATAACACTGTCTAGGGTATCACTATCAAGTATTTTTGATGGAAACCTCAATTCAGTTACCCAGAAGGTCACACATCACCATATTATGCTATCTTGCATAGAATTTAGCACCCTGTCAATTTTTACTTATCTTCATCATCATTATCTAGAGCAGATTTCTAAGCTTCATGAATAAGTGGCAGGAGACAGATGACACCTTGGAAACGTCTCCCTGTCTTCTCTCTCTCTTTCCATTTTGCCCTTTCCCCTCTTCCAAAGCAAGATTCCTCTTGCAGAATGTGGATTTCCTGCTGTCAGAACCTGATCTGGATTTGTGTACCTTCTTGTGCCAGAGAGCCCTTGAGTCACCTTCCAAGCATTTCACAACTGCTTTCACTAAAGCAGCAGTTGGGCTAACGGATGTCTTTCTTGTCTCCCACGATGACAGTGCTCAGCCGAATGTGGCTCTGGTGTCCGGACACGCTCCGTCATATGCATGACCAACCACATCAGCAGTTTACCACTGGAGGGCTGCGGACACAACAGACCAGCAGAGACCACACCCTGTGACAATGGGCCATGTTTGGGGAAAGTGGAATGGTTTGCTGGAAGCTGGAGCCAGGTACTGTTCATCTTCAAAATGTTTAGGGGAAGATCCAGCAAAAATTAAGAAAAACGGAGTTCAGGCGAGTTAATTATGTGGCTCTTTTTTATTAATTTACTTTATTATACTTATTGGTCTTTTTTGGGAAAATACTTTTAGCAATCATCACATTCCAGAATGTTTGGGTTTATTATTATTATTATCATTATTATTCCTGAAGAATTATCCTTTGTTGGCTCTATATGTTCTCAATGTCTTTTTACCCTACACAATTCCATTAAGAGATCTGAATGGTGTTTCTTTCTCTCTCTGCTCCTATGGTTGTATTCCTTCTGGCCACTTTCCCTCAACCAGTTAAACTGGAGAGAAACAGGTGCTGACGGATCAATTAGGGATCTGTCCCTCTCCCTAATTATTTGGCCATTTCTTCATAACGGTTAGCTAGCGATGGAAGAGCTGAGCCCAACACTCCTTGGCTGATCTGTACCTGGACTTGACAAACTAAGCTAATCCCCCAAGACACCAAACCCCAAATGAAAACCAGAAGAGATCACTCAGACCAAATTGGATTCTGACATCATTGGGAATGTGTTAGGACCTGTGGTGGGTCCCTGCACCCCTCTTCCTCTGCCAGTGCCTGGGAGCTGAGTGCCCAGTGCTGAAGGGGAGCCTTTATGCCATGCAGGCCTGGCAGCACCCACTGTTGCCTCCAAAGGTAAGGTGCTGGCCTCACATTCACCTGTTAAGGCTGGGGGGAATCCTCTTCCCAGGCCCCTGTGGGGCAGTGTGAGGAGGCACCTCTCTTTGGGGCGGGGGGGGGCAACTCAGAGACCAGGGGGCAGCAGTGGCTGCCCAGAGGATTCCCAAGGAGAGGGGAGAGGAGGGAGGTTGAGGGAACACTCCACAAGGGAGGGTGCTTGAAAACGTGGTGAGGAGCTGCAGGCAAGGGGTGACATAACTGGGCTCCTGAGCTCTACAGGGGTGCCACAGAAAGATTGTAGTTGGTCAGGGGAGCAATGGGTTCAAAAATGTTGAAAAACTGTGCCCTATGTGTCTCCCACTCCCAGAGTGTGTGCTGTTCTGGGAGTTCTCTAGGGAGGAGTGGGGGAAGGCCATTGTGCTAGCAGGACTTGTGCTGGCTCCAGATGACTCCCAATGCAGTCACTGTTTAGTTGAATCCAGCCCTTGATTTATTACCCACCCTTCATGCTAATGTCCCAGGGTGGGTCACAACATGCTTTTGAATTAGTATATGAGGAGCAAGGTTGGTGTTTCCTGTGCAAAGGACTAGGCTTTTGTGTATGTCCCTGCATTCTAATTGGTTGATTCTATTATGGCAGTTAAGTACTGATAGGGCATGCCTTGTTGTTGGTTTAAAAACCCGCCAAAGAACTGTGCAAAACACAATGTCAAGTAATCGTAAATCTGTTTGTGCAGTTTTCTGGTTTTTGCGCAAATCTGAGAGGTCAAAAGGATATATGTGTGTGGCTAAGCTCCTGACTCACACTTACTAGCACACTGGAAAAGAAAATGAAAGCAACTAAATTCTCAGCACACATTTTTCAGACTGCTGCTCAATATATCTACTGTAGAAATGTCTAATGGTGATTGCTTGGGCAGTTTTCTGGTTTTGTGCAAATCTGAAGGATGAAAGAACCAGGGAATTCCTGAAGCACACCAGAAATAGTTACAAGCAAAAGTGATAAAGAAATTCAGGTAATGAGTTAGTGGGCAAGGGAAGAGAAGTAGCAGAAAGTGACAGTGGATCCACCCACCCCAAAACGCTAAAACAAATAGTCTGCAACCCTCAAGGAAAGCAGTTTTGAGCCTAATTTTCTCCAATTTATTGGATTATCCCTTTATCAGGTAAAACCAAATTTACAAGGGGAAAGGATTGAGATTGATGTGGTTTGAGGGTCACATCATGTGGACTACTGTCAGGGAGAATTTGGAGAAGCAAGTGACAGAAGAGGCGGAGCAGGGGCTCGGGGATGCTGCAGAGCCCTTCAGCCACCCAGAGGCTCCGGAAGGGAGCTCAGACTCTGGAAGGGAGGGGGCTTTCAAATCAGCACAGACAAGGAGGGAAATAAACTAAGGATCAAAGATGTCTCACACAATTCCCACACCTACTTTGTTGGCGAGGGAATTGAAGGAAGCCACTCCCCGAATCTGACTCAATGGGTTCGGATGCATAATCCTGAACTGTAGCTATTTCTTGTACATATGTAATAAAGACTGTAAATATCAAGCCGACTGTGCCGGGGTGTTAATGCGAAGGGGAGACACCACCTTTACAACTACACAAATTAAATGGGAATGCAAACTCTGGTGTGGACAAGCCATTACTCTCAGTGGAGTTTGGTTTAGCCTCAGCACTGGAAAGGCCTATATCATGGGTAGGCAAACTAAGGCCCGGGGGTCGGATCTGGCCCAATCGTCTTCTAAATCTGGCCTGTGGACGCTCCAGGAATCAGCATGTTTCAATCAGTAGAACGTGTCCTTTTATTTAAAATGCAACTCTGGGTTATTTGTGGGGCATAGGAATTCGTTCATTCCCCCCTCCCAAAAAATATAGTCCTGCCCCCCCCCCCAATGTCTGAGGGACAGTGGACCGGCCCCCTGCTGAAAAAGTTTGTTGACCGCTGGCCTGTATCTCTGACTTTGATGATCAGAATTCTATCGTTTTTTTCATAATTGACTCCCTGATATGGCTGATCATGCCAATAAACTGCTTAGTCTCACAAAATGCACGATAAAGCTTTTAGGACTTCAAGGCTTTCTGCAATAGAACTGGCCCCCTTTTTAATCCTTCATGCCCTCTGCCCCCTCTCTTAACACATATTGTCGGAAAAAGATCTAAATTAGATTAGTGGTGAGCTATGTAAAAAAAAGCAACTTAAAGTAATAAAAATGCCAGCCGAGAATTTCACAGAATTCCAAGCTATGGAATCATAATGAAATGCAGCATTCGCTCAACACACTCAGACTCTCTCTCTCTCTCTCTCTCTCTCTCTCTCTCTCTCTCAGGACAAAAGCTGATGCAACTTGAAAGCCCCTCTCAAACATTTACAATCAGCATCTTACAGCTTTGTTTCATATTGGGGCACTGTTAGAGTGCATCTGCTTAATAGTCCTGGAAAAGCACCCAATCCTTGTTCTTCTTGCATAGACATCTTCCTCCATCCCAGCATAGACCTTTGAATGGTGGACCAGCTCCAAGGTTCTGTTATGTTAACTGGCATCCCAAGAGTTAATTGCCTCTGGGACCAGCAATTTACAATGCTGTTAACAGGAATTATGTCTTGAACTCCGGAGCACCCACAGAGAGTTTATCCATAAATCTACCATATTGCTTCAGGCTTCTAATTTATTTCTCTAAAGTAATAAATTCTTCAGGAATATGCAGCCATGGACATTTTAAAACCCATAATATTTTAATTCTCCACTGGTCAGCTACAATATATAATATAGTGTAAAAAAATAAATATGTGTTGAAGATTGATTTGTGGTGAAAATGGTGATTGCACCGTTCAGACCGTCTGATTTGTAGTCATGCTTAGAGCAGATTATCAGTGTCTCTTCCAAATCGGTTTCATTATGAACCTCTGGCAGTTTCCAAACATGCTTGCTAAAAAGTTATTCCATCATTTCTATGCTTCATATCTGCCATCTAGAGCGGCCACCCAAATTTCTATTGAAAATGATGTTTCAAGGAAATTTGGGCAACCTCTGAATTCTGGGAGATTCCAGACAGACAAAAGGAAACCCTGTTTTGCACCATAGTTAAAGGATGGGAGAGGGGGTGGAGACCACCAGTCTGGGAGGCTTTAAAAGGGGATTAGACAAATGAATGGAGGGGGGGGGGTAAAGTGATCAAGGGCAGCATGTATTTGAATGCCTGTTGCGGATCTCAAGTAGGAAAGAGCATTTGCGCTCATGTATCGCTCGTGGGCTTTACCTAGTCAACCACTGTGAGGACAAGATGTGGGACTACATGGACCATTCATCTGATCCAAGAAAGATCTTAAGTTTTCATGTTAATTTAAGACAATACTTTAATGTTGTTTCACATGTTATAACTTGCCCTGGCACCTTAGGGTGAAGGGGAGGTAGTATATAGCAGTAGTAGTAGTAGTAGTAATAGGAGGGGGGAGGGGAGGGGGATTAGAACATCCCACCCACTAAAGGAGGCCATAGATAATTCAAAGCCAAAGGAAAGAATTGAAGTAAAGAACAGTTCAGAAGTCTTAACATTCACAGGAACATGGTGGTTCCTGCAAACACACATCTCAGGTATCGAAGGCCTGGGTGAAGACATGCCTCTTCGCCATATAGTCCTCCCCTCTTGGGAAGCAGCGGCCAAGTTTTTGCTCTCTTCTGTTTGAGGGGCTTCCAGGCATTTGAAGTGTCCCTGGGCCAATTTAAAAGTGATTACTTGGGGCTGGTTAAGCATCCTGTGCTTTTAATCTCTACCAGAAGTAAAAACAAGGCTCCCCCTTCTTTTTCTTCTTCTTCTTTTTAAGTAAATTGTGCTAAGCGTGTTTTGGTATTTTTAAAGCCTTTTTCAAGTGACATGGAAACCAATATAGCGCTGGATTTCTCTCCTGAAGACCTTTTCCAAAAAGTGCCAGGAACTGTATTGTGTATTTAACCTTTAAAGATTCAGTCAAGGGCTACCTGGGCCAAAAGTTGTTTCTGAACTGAGCCCAAGCCCCCTCCCTCAGGAGCAGGCTATGGAGACGAAAAGGAAACCCTCCTGGCATCCTAACTTCCCCCATATCAAACAGAATGGGGAAGGGGGCGGGGAGCAAGCCAAGCTGAATTCTCACCTCAAATGCTGGAGGCAGAACAAAAAAGTTAAGCCCAACAGGGTCCGCTTCACCATTCCTCACCTCCGATAAATGCACCACTTTCTCAGGAGAACAGTGCACCATTGAGGAGACTCCCGGGACACCCCCCCTTCCACCCCCCAGGCCTAATTTAGTTAGACTGCAATCCAGCTGCCCCAACCGCTGCCGGTGGGACTTTGCTGAGGGGCAGAGCTCACAGTGGCCACAGCGGAAGGTGAGGGTGGCAGGGAAATTCAAGTCAGGCCTGGAGAAGGCCCAATGCCATTGCCTGATGGCAGTGAGCCCAGCTTGGGATCCAGTGGATCCCTGGCTGCCTCAGCCCCCACCCACACTCAGAATGCCCCATTTCAGGGCTTTCCTCAGAGCTCTGCCAGCAAAGAACTAATAATAATAATAATAATAATAATAATAATAATAATAAATGTAAACTGCTTAAAGCCCAAATTGACTTCCTTGTAATACTGAAGTGAATTCACAAATTATACAAGCACTGAAATATAACCAACCATACTATTAAAAATGCAATTAATATAATCCCATTAAATCAGGAGACAGGTTGAGAGAGCAAAGTCTATTACAGGGCAAAAAAAGTTGTTGGGAGGTAATATTTTGATAAGAAATGTGCCCATGGGAAAAAGAAACATAATCAGTCCTCACTGACTGCAGCTTTAGACAACTGCTTGGGGATTGATTGCTTAAGTAAACAAACAAACAAACAAACAAACAAAGTCTCATGCAACTGACTGCAAATGTGTAGTTTGACCCTTCATGTATCCCCATCATCTTAAAGTGGAACGAGACATTTCTGTGGTGCAAGAAGAGTCCTGCCCTATTTGCCTTAATCTCATGAACTGATATAGCTGCTTTGCTAAAGGGAACAGTTATTAAACCTGAAAGGTGGAGCCTCCTGTCTGTTTTGCTTGCTGGGCAAAACCAATTAATCCTTCTGATTCAAGTCAAATGATTGCAGCATTATCTGTCTCTGGGAACAAAGTTGTGACAAATACAACAGGCCAAGTGTAAATACCAAAGGCCAGCTGTTGCGCTCTCTCTCTCTCTCTCTCTCTCTCTCTCTCTCTCTCTCACACACACACACACACACACACACACACACACACAGACACACACACAGGAACAAACAAAAAATTACAGACAAGTTCTGGCAATATCCATCAGCAACCACTAATAATAATAATAATAATAATAATAATAATAATAATAATAATACCCCACCCATCTGCCACTCTGGGCAGCTTCCAACGCATATAAAAACATAATGCAGTGTCCAACATAAAACACTTCCTGATATAGGGCTGCCTTCAGACGTCTTCTAAAAGTTCTGAGTTCTGTTTAGAATTTGCTAACGGCTGCAAAATTATTGATGGTGAAGAAAGGGTTATATTTTGCGCTCTCTTCATTGAGGGGGGGGGAGAAAAGCTAGTTCACTTACGGAGATTGGGTGAAATATCTTAATTCATAAAATTTGCATATTTAAAACGCTAAGCAACCAACTGAGACGGGGTGGGGGTGGGACCTTTTATATAAGCTACCTCCATTACATTTACTGCAATACACTCTTTGTGGGGCTTCCCTTGCACCTATCCTGAATCTGTGGTTAGTGCAGAATACTGCAACATGATTGCTGGCATATATAACACCTGTGCTCAGAGATCTTCACTGGTTGCCCATTATATATATATAAAATCATTAACAACTTGGGACCAGTTTTCCTGCAAGAATACCTCTTATGCCATATATGCTCACTCAACCACTTTGATCAATGGCACTGGCCCTGTTCCAGGTACCCCATAATACCTGTTCAACATCTGTAAGAAATGGATCTTTGACGTTTGGCAGCAGCTGCACTCTGGGACACGGAGCCTCTTCACGCCAGGCAGGGCCTTCACTCCACTCTTTCCAGCGCCTGCTGAAGACACTTTTGTGTAGACGAGCCCCTCCAGACATGTAGAGTGTTGATGTATCGTCTAACCTGTTTTTAGTTTGTTGCTGATTTTACCTTTTGAACTCGTTAAAGATTTGTTTTTATCTCCTTTTACTGATAACCTTATTATTTTATTCTGTCTGTAAACCTCCTCTTTGCTTCATAAAACTTATAAACCACTTGGTTGCAGGAAACCTCAAAGTGGTTTCCAAAGAGAATAGAAAAATGTGACTATTTCTAAAAAAATTTAAAATTAATCAATCAACAAAAAAGACAGTCTAAAGTTTATGAAGTAAACATATGAGTATGTATCTCCACCTCTGTTTTCTGTTTGCTTATGTATAGTGCTCCATTGAATGTGGCCGTGGAACTCAGCAGAGAGAAGTGATTTGTATCCGAAAAACGGAAAGCAGCTTTGACCTGCTGAGTCCTGAGGAGTGCTCATTTCTGGAGACACCTCCCAACCAGCAGACCTGCTACCTCAAGCCTTGCGGCGCTAAATGGTTTAGCACCGAATGGAGCACGGTAAGTACGTACTTGGCTGCGTTTGGTTGATTCCTCTGCCCAAAACACAAATGCTCAGCTGAAGTCTGTTCCTATGGCCAGCCCTGGAGAGCTTAAGCAGAGCTCTGCTGCATCCGGCCAAAGGCCCTCCTAGTCCAGCCTCCTCTTCTCCTAGTGGCCAACCAGAGGTGTGTGGGAAGCCCACAACTAGCAGCGGGGGGTGGAGGGGCTCCCCCGTGAGGAAAGGATGCAGGGTTTGGAGCCAGGGAGAGGTGACATGATAGCTGGTGGAGGTGCAGCTTCTAGTCCTCCAAGGAGCTCCCACACAGACCTTTAAAGTGGCTGGTCAAACTGAACAGAGGAATCTAGCTCACTAATGTCAGCACTGACTGGCAGTGACTAGTGTTTCAAACAAGGGGCTTTGTGCAGCCCTACCTGGAGGTGCTGGAGATTGAACCTGGGACCTTCTGCATGCAAGGCAGAGGCTCTGTCACTCAGCTGTGTCATGCAGAGTTGCTCATCGTCTGCCTTCTCGCTTGATTCCTTGTTGAACTGCTTCCCTCTCCTCTCTGCTGAACCATCTGCCTGCCTCCAGGCTACCAGACCTGACACCTTCCAAGTTTTTCAGTGTATAACAAATCCTTGTGAGGACTTGACTTAAAGAAGTAATCTGTGCAGTGACATTTAACACTGCAGGAATGCAAGTAAGGAATTGTCTGTTTAGTCTGCTTCCAAGGCGCTGATGAAAGCATCTTCAGCAAGGAACCCAACTGGCTGGTCATCAGCATCCTGTTCGCCTAGGTAGCTGCATGCAGCCGCCATTTCCCACTAATAAGTTTCTAGACCTCATGCCCTTGCCAGCACTCCCAGAACATCAGCTATCTTAGCTGGGGAGCTTGAATACCCTTGGTTTAGAGCAGAAGGAGGGAACCCTTTCCAAACTGAGGGCCGCATTCTCTTCTGGAGAGCATCCCAGGGGCCATTTGGTGGTGGTGGGTGGGGCCAGAGGCAAAAGTGAGAAGAACAATTAATATGAATTTTACCTTTGACATGTAGGCTAGTTTCTAGAAGGAAACACACACACACACACACACAGAGAGAGAGAGAGAGAGAGAGAGAGAGAGAGAGAGAGAGAGAGAGAGAAAGAGCTCTATCCATCCAGGCAAGGAAGGGCAAATCCCAACTTAGCAAAAGCACTCAAGGAGGGTACGGAGCTGCTGAGAGGTGTGGCCTCGGGGAGAGATGGTGTGACTTGGTAGTGTGTGTGACCTGAGGAGAGTCAGATGGAGAAGCTTGGAGGACCACAAGTGACTGCATGACTGGAGGTGCCCCCCCCCAAGTTAGTGTTGGACACCTGGGGCACCAGGACTGCAAACCCTGCTCAGTCACTGGGTATCTTTGGGTTAGGTGGCTGTGGGGATACAAAAGGGAGGAACAGTAGCCACACCTGCCACCTTTGGTTCCTTGGAAGAAAGGTGGGCTGTAAATGTTACAAGGAAAGAAGCATACAAAGGTTCTTGACAGTCACCCTGCTGACAGGAAAACCTGTCTCTTCTGCACAACTCAAAACATTCCTGTATCTCCTTCAACTGAGATAAAAATAGGTCTAGTGGACATCAAGTGGTTTGTGAAGAGCTCCTTCTTACTTGGGTGTCTTCAGAGGGCTGTGTGTGTGTGATGAACCTTCTCGTTCTCCTTTGATTTCGTTCTTGGAACCTCCTCCCTCCCAGAGTCCTTGAAAACAATATGATCCCAAATTGCTTCAGACTGCTAAGTGAGGAAATTGCTTTGGCTGTCCCAGCTCTGCCCACTCTCCTACTTGGAGTGCTTTGCTTCCTGGATAGATTTTCATGACAACACAGAAGGGCAAATTACTCTTACCACTCTTGTTTTAAGGCAAGAGAACAGCATTCTGAGAAAGCAATAAACTAGAAGCTGCAAAATGACACAGCTGATGTTCTGTTGATCTTTTGATTTGGGGCTGATCCTGGGCCAACACCTGGCATGCCACTCCTGATCTGTGGAAATTCCCAAAATGACTGAGTAATGTTGGTACTGGTCACAGTGTGGTGGATTGCAGTGAGGGTTACTTCTGAGTAAACATACACAGGGCTGCACTGGGAGTGTGGCTTGCTTTGTTAATTTCATACTTTGCCAGAGCATTTATTTATTATTTATTTTAAATGCATTGCAGTGCTCAAAGTCCTGCGAAGGCGGCTTCCGTGTCCGAGAGGTGCGATGTCTCTCTGATGAAATGACGCCGAGCAGCAGATGTGACTCCCAGCTTAAACCTGAAGAGAAGGAGCAATGCAACACTCAAGACTGCATACCCGAAATAGGTAGGGTAATGTTGCCATTATTCTAACTGTGGAACTCCATCTAGTGGAGGGAAAATAAAACTGACCCACTGTGCCTACTGAGGCAAGCCAATAAGGTCAGATTTTAACAAAATGTAATAGTTTGGGTGTGTGTATGTTTTTCTTTTTAACAAGACCAAAATAAGCAAGTTTCTTTTGAAAGGTATATTGGTTTTTCATTTGGGATTTAGTCTTTTTATTGGCACACACGACATTTGAGTGCCCAGGAAGTCTCTAAAAGATTCCACCAGCAACCTGTATGCTGTTACATCGGGGGGGGAGGGGGGAGGTAATGTGCTTTTCAGATGTTGTGGTATTCAACTCCCATTGACCATCATGATCAGAGACGGTGGGATGTGTGTTCTGCAGCATCTGGATGATACCACATTGGCTACCCTTGATGTAGACAAAGAGAATGATGGGAACTGGAGTCCTAAAATATCTGGAAGAGCACAGATTCCCCACTTCTGATCCAACTCCTCAGAAAATGGGAGAAAAATAATTGTCAAATAGGAATTTGAATTCCCCCATTCTTCTGTCAGGTTTTCAAAGCTGAAGTCACTAAAGAGGTTCCCCATGTACAACATTCCAGGACTATGGCTCAAATTCAAGATTTGCATCTGCAACAGTGTAGGATTTGTATGAATAATAATTGCCACTGTTTTTGCAATTTCTCTTCCACTTCAAACAGCTGGGTTTTGCTGAGCAATTAACGCTTCGCTACAGTGCCTGCCAGTCAAACACAACGGCCTGCTACCTTGTGTTTAGGTATCATGAAAATGAAATTGATTTGTACTTGACTTTGAACAAAAGTGATTGGGTGTATGTATTCTTTAAGCCGTGTGGTTTGGGGAAATGTATTATTTAAGCAAAGCTAGGTGCAGGAAGAAGAAAAAACTCCAACATACACAAACCACCAAGCAGCACCGTGAATGTTAAATGCTCATCTAGACTTCTACTTTCCCTGAAGAGTTTTAGAAACAAAATTTGATTTTAACGTCTACGGTTAAAAAAAAGAAAAAGCCTTAATCCTACAGATCAGCTTAAACTGCAGCTTTGCAGGAAGAAACTTGCACCCCATTGAATGTCAAACATAATCCAAAACTTGGAAGCAGATCTGCTCTGCTTTCAAGAATAAAATGAAACAACTTTTCTAGGGTCAACTTAACAAGGCGCAGATAGACACTTAGACACTAATTTTGCTCTCTCATAAGCAGGGAGACCCTGATGGGCTGGAATTTCATCTGAGGAGATCCAAGGGTTTTGCCTTCACTGCAACATTGCCCAATGCCTTATATCCCCATGAAATAAACAATAACTGCTTTGAGGTTTTCTTCTTACAAGCAGGCAGTATATAAATTTTATAAAATAATATAAAATAAACAGATTCATCATTTATTTATTTATTTATTTCATAAAATTTATACACTGCTTCAATATTTTTTTAAAAGACCCTCAAAGCAGCTAACAAAAAGGTAAAAATAAGAAAATCAAGAAAAAATTGGAGCCAAACATACAGAATCATAGAATTGTCAAGGTAGACGGGACCCCAGGATCATCTGGTCCAACCTCCTGCAGTGCAGCAATAGGCAGCTGTCCCTCATGGGGATTGAACCTGCAACCTTGTCATTATCAGCACCAAACTCTAGTCAACTGAGCTACCCAGGCCTATACGAAAACTTAAAATGCTAAAACAGATTAGAATTCACACTGGCATATCTAAGTACCTGGGAAGGGTTGCCTAAAAAAGAATGCTTGTTTTCTCCAGGTGCACAAAAGAAGATAGTGGAGGCTCCTGCTTGCTCTTCCTAGACAGGGAGTCCCAAAGGGCAGGTGCTGCCACACTAAACAACCGAGTTCTCACCAATGCAGAATGGGCATTATGTGGGCCCTGCAGTAGTGCCAGTTCTGCTGATTGAAGTGGTCGATTGATGCAAAAACCATACAAAAATGCATTACGTCAAGGACAATTGCTTTCTAAAATTAATCAAAACTGCATATAGAAAATGTGTTTACTGTGAGAATTTCATACTAAACTTCATGGCCACTGTGAAGTCCAAAGCATCTGAAAGGCACTGGGTTGGTGAAGACTGATTGAGGTGCTATTATTGAAAGGAGCTCATGCCATCATGGGGACGATGCGGGGACCTGGAGCAGAGACTTCCCTGCTGGTCTCAGTCAGTGCAAAAGTTCCTGGGGCACAAGGTAACCCCTTAGCCATTGCCTGTTTAAGAAATTATTTTGTCCTTTCCAGATGAAACCTGCAAAGACAAATATTACAACTGCAATGTTGTCGTGCAAGCCCGGCTGTGTGTCTACACATATTACAAAACAGCGTGTTGCGCTTCGTGCTTGAGAGTGGCCAACAGGCAGTCTGGGTTTCTGGGGCGCAGATAACCACGGCTCCATCACTGGCATCGCTGGACTTCTGCCCAGTCATTTGTGGCTGCTTGGACTGAAACAGAGTCTACCTTTTAAAAAGAGAGGTTTCCCTTACTGGTGCACCCCTTGAGGGTGTGCATGCTTCTGTGATATCACTAGCACACTGTATAGGGACCCTTTTGGAAATGTACACTGTAAAACTGGGTTTTTCCAAACATCATTAAGCACAGCCAAGCAAAAGCCCATCTTGGGAGATGTAAGGAACTGTCTCAGGCAGAGTCAACTAATAATCCATGCAGGGACACTAGGGGTCAACGAAGGCAGCAGTCCTGTGCCTGGAAGGAAGCCCCGTTGAACTCAGCAGAACTTACTTCCAATGCATAGGATTGTACTGAGAAAACCCCAGAACATTGAGCTTGACTGGCATCAAACTCTCCCTCAGGACCATTCTCCTTTACATAATACTTCTATGACACCTAATAAAAATGTTGGAAACTTTGCTAGTATCAAGGCAAAGCTTCTTGTTCCTGCTTGGACATAATAAATGATTCCCACCAGGATGAAACCAGGGATGGCATTTTCTTAAAAAAACCCCAGTTCTGCTTAAAAAATGAGCTATGCTCACACATCATGTTCATTATTCTAATAAATGATTATATGCATTATTATATGTATGATTTTCTATACATATACACTCCAGGTTTCCCAAAGCAACCAGCTCTCAAACAGATACATACAAGAATGCATATAACTATACAGAAATACTTTTGTATTAGTGCTTATAAAATTATGCTGCAGTAATAAAGTGCCACATTGGGGCTTGACACTTTTATATGTATAATACATGTATTTTAAAATTTTGCACATAATTTTGCATATAAAATTACATATAACCAGTCAGGCCTTTTTTGTAATAAATAAATAAATTAAAACATCCCCAAAACCACAGCATTGCATAAAGGGCAGACGGGCAGTGCTGCCCCAGTTCCCTCAAAGGATCCAGCCCACAATGCTATAAGCGCAACATACATATTTCTCTCTCTTCAACCACTTCCCCTTTCTTTTTAGTAGTTTACATCATTCCTGAGGAAAGCTCTGAAATTTGAAGGCTAGCTCATTGTTTGTGACACATACACACTGTTGGTCCCAATAATGGTGATTATGTTGCTGCCCTTGTTCAGGGTCCCCTGCCCCATGGATGAACACAGCAGCCTACCTTTGTGTCGCTTTCTTTGTCAGTGTTGGCAAATGCCAATAGTTGTTGAATACTGGCTATCTTGATGTGTGGCAAAGTCAAAAAGGATGCACCCGACCAATTTCATGATGGCAGCGATTACTAGACGGTCCCCCTCCACTACAATTAATCTGTCCTGTGATCACTTAAAAATAAACTCAGAAAGCCACCTTATACCAGGTCAGACTCTTTCTCCACCCAGCACATCCATTGCCTTCTCTGGCCGGCAGCTAAGGTGGCCACATTCTCTGCTTTTCAGAGGACCAGCCTCTGTTTGAAATCCGGTTTAACGATGGCCATCAGAAGGGAGAGGACATGGGGCATCCAAGTTGCCCATCGACACCCAGTCAGGTGACTAAGCAAACACACAGGCCCCCTGGTCGCTGTCCCTAGTATGATGGGATGTATTGTGTTTCTATTTAAATTATAGTAATTGTTTCTAAATCTGCATCTATACATACAGATAAATCAGCATATAAAGTTATTATACAAATTTGTCTCGTCTTTTGGGATGATGCATTTGATGACATTCAACCTGTGCATTTACTTTTAATGCTCCGCACCTCAGGTGGCCTCCTTCTGAGTCAGGGGTCACCAACACAGTGCCCACAGGCAGCAGTGTGCTGGCCAATACCTCCTATGGTGCCTGCAAAAGGTCTCAGTATATATCCTCTCAAAAATCCACATTGCATGAGAAAATGTTCGTTCTTCATAGTCAGTACCTGTTTGCATTGACTCAGCCTGTCCTGCATTGAGCTTGCCCCCCACAACCCCCACAACCATACCCACATTTCATTGGATGCTAGCAATGGACACCCATCCTCTTCCAATCCATTCTCCACCCAGAAGAATCACTAAGAACTTCTCTTTGCATGTGAGAACAGTGAAGCAGGTGCCTTTTTCTCACTGATCAGGGGCCATGTTGTGGTCCCAACTCATTTTCTGCTCTTTTGGAAGTGCCAGGAATTTTGTTTTATTCCACCCCTATCCCCACATGGCAGCCATTTTGTCATTGCTTCTCAAGAGTGTTCTCATCCATTTTGTTGCCTGAGGCAAAGGACAAGATAGTGCATTCTCCACTCTGTGCGCAAAATCTGGCTTGACTGGAAGTTGTATCGTCCTTCCTTCCTAGTGATTCGAGCTTCATTTAGCTGGCCACCCACCCAACATTTGACTCATCATTCATTTTATCTTAGCCGTCTTAAAAGACAAACACCATTAGGACTGAAGAGCAGGGGAAGGTTGTATTGTAAGGACCCAGACCCCAACAGTCCTGAAGAATGTTCCCCACATGAGTACCCCAGCTGATCTGTAGTAAATAAGCATGTGCTTTAAACATTCTTTTTTCTGATCTACATTCCTTTCTTTGGTGATGTGGCCACTGTAAGCCATCACAGCTAGAGCAACCTACATATTTCATGTGTAATACTAGTAAAAGGGTAAACAACATGGTGGCCTCCAACTCCCATTATCCCTGTCCATTGGCCATGCATTGGCTGTGGCTGATAGGAGTTGTAATCTAAAACATCTGGAGGGCACCCCTTGTGGACCACCTCGGCTCAAGTGCATGACGTACCCCTCTTCCTTTTGCTGCTGTTCAGTAATACTCATTTCTTCCTATTAGCAGTGATGGGAAAGAGTGTTTAGAGGTCTGTATTCAATGTTCAGACATGCCCATGACAGAACCAGTGTGCTGTAGGTCAATGTGGTGTCCACCAGATGACTGTTGAAATTCAACATCCATCAGCCTCAGCCACCCTGTCCAATAGTGAGGGACAAAGGGAATTGTTCTCCAGCAACATCTGGAGGCACTGTGTTGATTACCCCTGATGCAACCTAACAGCTGCTTTGCTCTTTTGGTGTAGATGCCAAAAGAAGTTGTCGGTGGTAGAGATGGCACCAAGACTCGTATTTCTTAGCCTGGAAATATTAGCCTTGTGGGGCTTGCAATATAAAGGTAAAGGTAAAGGTACCCCTGCCCGTACGGGCCAGTCATGTCCGACTCTAGGGTTGTGCGCCCATCTCACTTAAGAGGCCGGGGGCCAGCGCTGTCCGGAGACACTTCCGGGTCACGTGGCCAGCATGACAAAGCTGCTCTGGCGAGCCAGCACCAGCGCAGCACACGGAAACGCTGTTTACCTTCCCGCTATAAAGCGGTACCTATTTATCTACTTGCACCCGGGGGTGCTTTCGAATTGCTAGGTTGGCAGGCGCTGGGACCGAGCAACGGGAGCGCACCTCGCCGCAGGGATTCGAACCGCCGACCATGCAATCGGCAAGCCCTAGGCACTGAGGTTTTACCCACAGCGCCACCTGTGTCCCTGGGGCTTGCAATGCTCACCTCAAAAAGAAGGAGAATGTTATGAACCCAAGTTCTTGTTCAGCTATGATTCAATCAGAGGGGAAGAAGAATCCCACCCTCTCCCATCTCCATCCTGCCTACCCAGATCCTAAATCAGTTCAGATTGCCTCAGGGACCAGCAGAGCCATTTGGGGAGAAAAAAAGATCTGCTCTTTTTGGGCCAGTCTGAGCCCAGGCAGGACGGAGCGTTGGCTCATCTTCAGTCAACAGGCACATACATAACACGGCCAGGTCTGCCCATGCAGTGGAGAATTGCCCAGATCGCCACACACCTGAAATTAACCCAGCCTGTCTGAAACAAGGAAGGATATACTTTGTTATAACTTATTTTTTATATTTGTAAATACAAGATGTTTATAGGAAAAAATGTATTCTAAGCTGTGTCTATATGGAATAAGCCACTGCATCAAAATAGTTCTATTATTTAGAATATAAATTTGTTTGTTCATTTGTTTTATAAAAAGGGACTAAAAGTGGATTTATTTATATATGCCATTGACATTTCTGTCCAGCTCTTTTGGCAATACTAACCAGTCTCTGGCCTAGAGTTTTATACCACACTGACATATATAAAAGTATTGTACTGTAAATCAATAGTTAATGTTTTCTTTAATTCATGGTTAATAATCCACTTCTACAAATGGATTTTTTTTAAAGAAAAGTGGGAGATGTATAAGTTTAAAAATACTTAAGGACTAGTTCAGGAATATATATCACCAGCAATGCACCTGAACCAGTTCTGTACAGCATCTTTTTCATATTTGTATACATTTTCTCCAATGGGGAAAAAGTTTGATATTTTTTCGTATGACTAATTTATTTTTTATTATTGTGGGGGGAAAATAAATTGAACAAACATCCCATCCTGTGAGTTGTCTTTTGTGGTTAATAATGTCAGCACAGTTCGAATCCTGCCTCTTCCATGAAGTCATGAGAAGGGCCAGTCCTACGGTTGGGCAGGGTGAAGTAGCAGCCCCGGGTGGCAGATGCTGGGGAGCAGCAGAATTTTTGCACCCCCGTTGGAAGATTCAGTACAGATGAAAGAAGGCGCTTCTTCACATAGTTCCAACAGTGCACCGTGTGCATAACAACTCCAGTTAGTCTCTCCAAAGTCTTTCAACACTCAGCTTCCCTGGACGGCCATGGATTCCAGTCTTATGAGAGAGGGAGGGAGGGGGTCCCTATTTCCTTCCTCCACACCACGCATAAACTCACCTCTATCATGTCTTCCCTTAAGCAACTTTCCCCCTAAATCAAGAAGCCCAAAATGTTGCAACCTCAAAGGGAGGTCGCACTAACTCTTTAAACATTTTGGCGTTTAAAAATTAGTTTTTCTTAAAGATTTTCTCATGTAACAAGCAAACAAAGAAACAAAGAAAACTACATATAGTGTCTCCACTTTCAATTCAGAGTCTGAAAAGTTTGTTTACATTCAGTATAAGATACTATTATCATATGCATTATGTGGTTGGGGGGAAAGAGAGGAGAGAGTGGGGAGAATGATCTTTCATTCTATTGCATAGTTGATTATTGATTCTGATTTTTGCTGAAGCCATAGAGTAAATTTGTTTAAGGATATCTAGGAAGTTAGGGCCGAATTTCATGCTGGTTAATACTTCTATTAAGTATTTCCATTCCATACAATCAAAGGATATCTAGAGACATGACTGTCAGTGGAGATTTGGTTGTTTTGCTATGTTCTATCAAATTTAGTAGTTTCTTAATGGGGTCATGTCCTGCTTTCCTCCAGGGCGCTGCCATCTTCTCTCTTTAAACATTTTGGTTGCCCTTTTCTGACCCTTTTCCAACTCTATCATATTCTGTACATCATGTTCCAAGTGTGGTCTCACTATAGAGTTGTATAATCCCATTCTGACAGCGGCAATTTTATGTTCAATTCCTTTTCTAATGATTCCTAGCATGGAATTTGCTGTTTTCAGAACTGCCGCAAAGTGGGTCAACACCTTCATCGAGCTTTCTGCTATGACCCCAAAGTCATAACAGAAAGTTTACACACCCTGAGCATATATGTGAAAGTATTGGGTTTTTTGCCCCCACATCCATCACTTATGCTGAATTGCATCTGCCATTTTGCTTCCCATTCACTTAGTTTAGAGAAGTCCTTTTGGAGCTGAGCAGAATCCTTTTTGTTTTAACAACCCTGAACCATTTAGTATCATCAAGAAACCTGACCACCTGACTTCTCACCCAGACTCCAGATTGCTCACAAACAAGTTAAAAAGCACAGCTCCCAATACTGATCCTAGAAGGACTCCTTCTTTGTCACCCGCCACCTAAAGCATTAACAAACTCGGCCACTGTGTGTGTGTGTGTGTGTGTGTGAGAGAGAGAGAGAGAGAGAGAGAGAGATTTTGCAGCCTGTGAATCATGTTGCAAAGTTATTAGTTTGGTTTCAGATCTGCCCTAGATGTTCTTAAATTTGGTACAAGATGCATCTTTTAAAATGGTTGCAGTATTCTCCTGCCTCCACCAGCAGAATTGTGTTGGACTTAGCTGTCAGTTTTTGGATTCAATTTCTTGCTTTTTTCACAGTAACCAACTGAGAGAGTTGAAGATTTACATCAAGAATAAAAAAATAAAGGATAAAAAGTGAACTATACTTGGCTCGTAGACTTTAAACATACCCTTCCAGATGACTGGGTAAAAATTCTCATTCCTTTAGAAAATCTTTATATGGAAACATTTTAGAATCTGAGTGAAAACATTTCTGTCATGTGGTTCTCACACAAATATAATCCCAAAACAATATTTTGGTTGTTTTTTTTTAATAAATTTTTATTGGTTTTCCAAGCACAAAATAGAAACAAACAACACACAATACACAGACATACAAACATATAAACATGTATAACTTCATAATCTTATTTTCATGCACCTTACTTCCCGGACTTCCCCATACCTCCCCTTTTCTGCATCCTTGTTTTACATTTCTTCAGCAACTCCTCCAATTAACTAATTATTCAATTCAATTTCTTTTAAGTTCTTCTTTAACTTATTGATTACAGCTGCAATTCTCTATTTGCCAACTCCTTGACATCTTAACACTCCTCAATTTTACAACAATTTTTAAGATATATTTTAAATTTCTTCCAGTCTTCTTCCACTGTCTCTTTCCCCTGGTCACGGATTCTGCCAGTCATTTCCGCCAGTCTCAAAACAATATTTTTGAGTTATGGATATGTGCCTTGGGTTTCACTGTTTTTATTTTTCAACTGCATAGGTCAGACGTGCACCCACAAGACTCTCTGGCTCTCATGACTCTCCCTGGATCACCCCCTCCCTGACCCTGATTAAGACACTCCTAGTGTCTGCTCTTGAACTGTGAAAATGCCTTTTGGTTATTTGGACAGAGGGTGGTGTGTGTGTGTAGAAGTCACATCTATTGCCCTCCTTCCAACAAGACAGAAGTATTGTTTCTGGGGCACAGGGAGGCAGGGGTGTGTGGGGGACTCCCTGGTCCTGAATGGGGTAAGTGTGCCCCTGAAGGACCAGGTGCGCAGCCTGGGAGTCATTTTGGACTCACAGCTGTCCATGGAGGTCAATTCTGTGTTCAGGGCAGCAGTCTACCAGCTCCACCTGGTACACAGACTGAGACCCTACCTGCCCACGGAGTGTCTCACCAGAGTGGTGCATGCTCTGGTTATCTCCTGCTTGGTCTACTGCAATGTGCTCTACGTGGGGCTACCTTTGAAACTGACCCAAAGAAACTATAACTAATCCAGAATGTGGCAGCTAGACTGGTGACTGGGACCATATAACACTGGTCCTAAAGGATTTACACTGGGTCCCAGGACATTCCCGAGCACAATTCAAAGTGTTGGTGCTGACCTTGAAAGCCAGTGGCCCCAGTCTTGTATGCCCGAAGGAGCTTTTCCGCCTCCATCGTCCTGCCTGGACACTGAGGTCCTCCTCCAATGATGTTTCCCTCAATGTGAGAAGCAAAGTTACAGGGAACCATGCAGAGGGCCTTCTCGGTAGTGGCTCCCTCCCTGTGGAATTCTCAGATGTCAAGGAAATAAAGAATTATACAACTTTTAGAAGACATCTGAAGGCAGTCCTGTAGTGGGAGGTTCTTAACACAGTGTTTTTATTATGTTTTTACATACGCTGGAAGCCACCCAGGAAAACCCAGCCAGATGGGTGGGGTATAAATAATATTTTTTTTATCATTATTATTATACCTTTGCCCCCTCCCTCCACTGGCATGTGGCCTCCAGAAAGTTGTCCATGAGGAAATGTGGCCCTTGGAATGAAAGAAGTTTTCTGTCTGGATATATTTGCTGGACTAACATTTTACTCAGAAGGAAGTCTAGCTTTTCAGTGGATCCTGTTCCTTAGGACTGGAAACCTCTGATTC